AACGCCGTTAGAAAAATTAACCCCGATTTTAAAAAGTCTCCGAAAAATTAAAAGAAAAATACCGGGAGGTGCGCCTCGTCAAGGAGATCAACAAACTATCTTTATTTTTTTGTTTCCAGCAACCATATCTCCAAAAAGTCCACCAGAAAATTGATATTAGCGAATTTGTTTTTAAAAAATAATCCAAATAGAGCCGAAAAATCCAAAGAGAAAGATAGTTTGTTGATCTCCTTGACGAGGCGCACCTCCTAGTATTTTTCTTTTAATTTTTCGGAGACTTTTTAAAATCGGAGTTAATTTTTCTAACGGCGTTAGATGCCGTGCCCCTGCTATGATAACGGAATTGAAACACATGCCCCACTTTGTCAGAAAATGAAACACATGCCCCTATATGAAAATGACCCAAACCACAGGTACGTTTTCTGTACTTTTCCCTTGAATCTATATAGAGTTTATCTCTAAATAATAATTAAAAATAATATATTAAAACAAATTCATGATATGCTAAAAATTTCAAAAATTAAGGAAACATTACTATTCTGAATAGTAAATCTATTTAATTATAGTAATAGGGTTTCTCTTTTTAACCATAGGAATACTTTCGGGCTTTGTGGGCGAACGAATATATGCATTAAAATGCTATATATAAAGAAGACATTGATAATCCGTCGTTCATTTCATTCTAATATATATATTAATATATTATAAGATCAAAGAATTTATGATTTATTGTATATACACATATGTACGTTGACGTATATTTGTAGTATAATTTAAGAAAAAATATGTATACTTATTATAGGGAAAACTATCAAATAGACCCCCGTAGTATATGGAAAAGGTCAATTAAACCCTCGAACTAAAAAAAAACACTCAATTGGGCCCTTCAACTTAAAAAAAAAACAATCAAATTTGGAAGGAAAAATTGACGAAAATAATCCCACTTTTCGCTGGTCTTCTCATAATAATCCCACCTTTAGATAATCCCAGAATAATCCCACATTTGCACCCCATCTTCTTTGATTGGACCCTGACCATGTTTTTTACTCTTTTTTGAAAATCATATAAATAATCTCACCTTTCACTTTTCTATTATATCTTTATAAATGTGAGATTATTTATATAAGATTTTCAAATAAAAGTAAAAAACTTGGTCAGGGTCCAATGAAAGAAGATGAGGTGCAAAGGTGGAATTATTTTGGGATTATGTAAAGGTAGGATTATTATAAGAAGACCAGTGAAAGGTGAGATTATTCTTGTCAATTTTTCCAATTTCGAATGTAACTAGAGAAAATCCGGTTATCCGGTTGTTTGGAAGAGGTGGCTGCCCGTGTGGATTTTATTTGTTTTTCTTTTCTTTCTTGGCTTCCTTCCCCCCCACATGTCTTTCTTCCTGTTCTTTCATCTTCTCCACAATCCTCTGCACGAACATTTCATCTTTTCTTTATTTCTTTCTTGGTTTTTTAGTTTCTTTCTCCCATCCAAAACTGCTCCCCCTTTTGTTTTACCTTGTACCTACCCCCATTGTGGTTTATCGTTGCCATTTTTAATCATTCAATTTAGGAACTCCGGCGTAGACTTGAAGATTAATGAAGAGGCGGCATGTCGGCGGATATATTCAGCTTCCTGTTGGCTAATATGACCTCATTAAAAAAAGAAAAAAAAACAGATGGATAGCCATGTCACCATTATCACCGCGTACCGGATCTTCCCTTGTTAAATTCCAAATTTGATTGTTTTTTTTAAGTTGAAGGACCTAATTGAGTGTTTTTTAGTTCGAGTGCTTAATTGACTTTTTTCATATACTACGGGTCAATACTAATACCCGTACCTGCCCCCATTGTATAGGCGGGGTGGGGCGGACCCACCCCATTTGGAAGACGGGGCGGGCCGGACCCATCCCAAATGTCTCGGGCTAGGGCGGGTCACCGCGGGTCGTTTTTTTTTTTTTTACATCCGTACCTTCAACACCTCCTCTTCTCCTGAGTAGTGATTCATTGCCGCCCCTAACCCAGTACTTTGCTTGCTCTGATGCACTTCACCGGCTCACCACACATATATGTATATTATAGTCCATACATTAATTGAACTGTTTGGACTAAAAAAATATAGAAATTGAAGAGACTGGAGTTTGAATTAAATTGCAAGATTGGGAAAAGAACATTGCTCGATTGCCGCAAGTGACAATATTGCTCTATTGCTCTTTTGTTAAGGCCAGGGCTTGAGGCATTACATTTCTTCTCCGGTCCATTGGCTTAGCAAAGGAAGACATATAAAAGATAAAACAAGAATATACATACAAACCAATAAAAACAAGATCTTGTTTTTATTGGTTTGTATGTCTTGTCTAGACATGGGTGACATGCCGATTTGGTTGTTGCAGGTCATGAGTGTGTTTTAAGAATATGACCCTCGTACTTGGGATTATAATGGAATTACCAATATTTAGAATTAATATTAGAAGACTGCTAATAGTTCAGATTATTTATATGAATTTTTCCTATTATATATCTAATATATAGTACGTAAACTATATTACATTTACTACATCCATTTGAAATTGGATTTTGAATTTTAAAAGTGGTAATTCAATTTTGGATGTTTTCTTTTGGACTGTTTTCAGTCCCAGATCAGACCAGACCAGACTTGAATTCCGTAGTTATAAAATACACAGATACCATGACGTTTTCCAGACCAGACCAAACATGTTCAGACCAGACCAGATCAGATCAGTCCATCAAATTTCAATCTAAAAAAACATCCTGAATTGGGTTGGGAAGTTGAAACTGTATAGGTATAGTGCCCACATGTAGTTTTTAATTTTACAATGGTAGTGGTAGTGCATGCAGTTCTCAATCTTTCGTATCTTTTGGAGTAGCACATGAATGAGCTAGCTTAATTATGGGTATGTCTAAAAAATTGGGAGAGGTGCATGAAAATTGGAAATAATCTTCAAGATTTAGATCGAATTTGATATCAGATTTTTTTATCAAATAGTTTCACAAAATATCATAATCCTAACATCTCAACCATAATTTCACAAAATATCATCTACATCATCATAATAATCCTATGGAGGGGATGCCCTTAGAATCGGCCACCACCCATGTGTATCCGTAGTTTTGGAGGTAGAGGCAAACTCAGGGTTCGAATTGATCGGAAAATGTATTTCAATTTTCAATATAATCTTCTGGTTTTTATATCAGTGAGATTTTCTTCTGTCATCTCAATTCTTTGGTTTTCTTTCACTGGGATGAAAGATCCTAGGGGGCACAAAACCGGACCGACACCCGAAAACCAACCCTGATCCGGCCCGAATAATGTTCCCGGTCCGGGTTTTCTCTTTTTAACCGGCCCGAAAAAATAAGAACCCAGACTGAACCCGAATATTCAGGCTCATGAACGGGCTCTAAAATCTATATATGACCTGGTCTGGACCGATAAATATCCGAAACAATTAACTTTATTATAAAATCAATAACATATACGAATCTAATGTATAAATAATTCCTAATATATGATTATAATCATGGTGGATGAAAAAATGACTTAGTAACTTTTAGTAACTACAACTATGCTCAATTTTGTATACTGTAATGATCATGAAAATATATTTATAGAAACTTTAGTCACATTTTATCCACAAATTTTATTTAGTGATTTTTTTTAGAAAACTTGTAATCTTAAACAAGTTATTAAGATAATTATCTTTGTTGGGTTTGAATTGTTGGTGATTGTGGAGACTAATATTTGACTATTTGTATTATTATTTGCGGTTTGTATTTTTGATTAATTTTATTTGAAAATAGGTTTTAAAATATAAAACAAAAATGAAATGATTTCACATTCGGGCTTTAACCGGCTAAACCCGAACACGGACCCAATAGCGGACTTAGGGTTGGTTTGCAACTACTTTTAAAAAAGCACTTCTCAGCTTTTGACTTTAAAAAAGCACTTATTTTCCCAAACACTACAACTTTTATTTTTCTCGGCTTCCGCATCAAAAGTGTTTTTACTTTTTCTATTACACAAAAAGCACTTATTTTACCAAACACTACCCACTTTGACTTTTCAAAATCACTTTTTTCTCAAGCACTGTCAACTTTTATTTAATCACTTCTCCCCATTTCATTAAAAAAAAGCACTTTTTTAAAAGCAAAAGCTGTTGCAAACAGAACCTTAGCATTCTCATTTTGGGTGTTCAAAAGCTTTTACAATTAAAACTTTAGTGAATATTAAAATTATTGGTGTATATTCTTACATTTTTAAAGAGTTTTGAGTGTTCAAGTGAACACTTTGGATCAATAGTAGATCCGCCCATGCACGGACCGAACTCGAGCTACCAAAAACTCGACTTGGACCGAATATAATGAGCTTTGTTCTGGTCCCTAATTTTCATAACCCGTGACCTTACGGGTAGTGTTCGGGTTTAGCAAAAACTCGACCCGGATGTACCGAACCGATCTCACCCCTAAAAATTCCTTTTGGGAAACTTCCGGCCAGTAGTGTGTATCTTTGGGAGTGTTTGCGATTGCTTGAGCTTTTTAAAAGTGATTTTTTTAAGAGATTATTGGAAAAGTGATTTAAAGTAAAAGTAGATAGTGTTTGGAAATAGAAGTGATTTTTATTAAAAAATAAAAGTTGGAGTGTTTGATAAAAAAGTGATTTTTTGGGAGTAGATTGTAAAAGTACAAATTTACCCTTCCCAATTAAATACCAAGCACCCGTCTCTTTCCTCGACCTTTCCTTTCATCGCAGCAAGCATGCTTTGTGTTCAACTAGCGAGTTCCAGATTCTTCAATTTCAGCTTCTTCTTTGCACAATCAGATTCGGAACTTCAATTTCAGTTTTTAAATGGAATATAGGGTTTAGCTTCCATGCTTGAGATTTTCTTACGTTTCATCATTTCAGTTTGTTTTAAAATGGAATATGGGTTTCAGATTATAAACATGAGTATTTCTTGGCATCTTTAATTCCAACCTTCTCACTTTCACTTATAGAGGAACAGAGGCAATGGAGTGGAGAGCGGCAATTCACTGAAGTAATAACAAAAACCTGAATTGCGAAATACATTGTGATGGGAGACGATTGTGGCGAAAGAAAGAAAACAGAAACTTGTAGTAGTAGGCCATCAACATTGCGGCAATTCACTGAAGAGAAGGACTCCATATTGACATTTGCAGTGACACAGTTTGGGAGAAGAAGCTGAATGACGAACGAAAATGGAGACGGGCGGATGGGTTATAAACTTATAATTATTGCAGGGTATTTTGGGGGTTAGATAATTTTGTTGGCATTATCATTAGTCATAAAGTTGGAGGTATTTACAATTTTACCTAGAAGCTATTAGAAAGTGTGGTACTCTAGCTTTTAGATTTTGGCTTTAAAGTACTTTTTTTAAGCCAAAGTTGGGATTAGCAAACACTTATTTTTGCTTTTTTAATCTAAAAGCTCCAAAGCACTTTTTTTAATCAAACAAAAACACTCCTTTTGTTTTGTTTTTTCTTTCTGGCCAAACCGGTTTTATCAAATTTTGTTGGCTAAACAACCACCTTTAATTATCATTTTAGAGAATACTTCGCATAAGCTATCGTTTTAGGACTAAAATGCAAATAATAGAAATATAGAATCACAATATATACTAATATGCGTACGGACGTAGTGAACGTACCAACTACCAAGGATGGTGAGATGGCATGATACATTAATTTGATTGGTTTAAAAAGTTTGGTGCCGGTGCCTTGTAAATTAAGAAAGGTATGGTACGGTAGAATTTTTTTCCTTGAAACCCCTGTGAAACTCGCATGCAGAAAACGGAAGTCCTCTACATTATATATATACTACGTACTTGGTACTCGATCTGGCCGTACGTCAATTGAGATCAACGTCTGAAACCCTAGCTAATCCATCATCATCATGTCATCGAGCCGATTTGAGGCATTCCGGCTCTTGAAAACCATGTTGCAGTTCCCTGCAGAATTCAAACTAGTCCAGGCGGAGAACCTTGTGGCCCACGCCTCGTATAAATACGTGTTCGGGAAAACCATAATGGAGATGGTGAAGAAGGTCCTTCCAGTGAAGAGTAAAGAGTCTCTTGTGGATGAAATCCTGAGGGATCTGGAAAAAGTTGAACATGGAGTTCAGCAGCTTCTTGAAATCTACCGGAAGGAGCAGCAGTCAGCCGAAAAAGGTGATGATGATGATGAGAAGGAGGAAGGGAATTAATGGAACCGGCTGGTCCAATGACTCAGGCTCTCATTCCAAGGTACGTGCCGTCTTACTTATTACCGATCGTCATTCCGTGTCAAATCTGTGTCAATCACGTAATAATTAAATCTGACGGAATTGAAGCCATCAAAAGCCTTAGCAGTTACGACTTACGAGCATATGTACGTACGAATTGAAGTATGTAGATACCTACTATACGCTGTACATGTGCATGCCTAGATAGTTGCCTCGGCAATAATTACCGGTACAAAAAGAAAATATGTAAAATACTCAATACTACGTACTCCGGGTATATGCTAATAACAATATTAATATTGTATGTACGACTGTACGAGCTACTCTTCTTATTTTAGATCCTTGCTGAATGCTTTTATTCTAATTTAAGCCCCCTTCATTCAAAAATATAGTATGTACGAGGTAATTTACAGCAAATAGCCAAGTAGAACGACTATATATCTACCAGTGTATAATTAAGATACTCCCTATATATATATGGAATGAAGTAGTAAATTGAGCATATTCGAATGACGGGAGAATGAAACTCGATTTCTTGAGCTGTAATTTTGGGAAGGAGCTTAGTTTATCTGAATTAGATTTATACGACAGTTTATTAAATGTCAATTTCAATTATATTGTGATAAAAGCATTTAACCCAGGTCCACTTTCATGAAGAACGATCACTTTAATACAATACAACTTCTTGTGTACAAAGTATATTTTAAGCACTACTTGGGGTGTTTGGATCTGATTCCTAAAATTTTTTCTGCTCCTTCAGAGAGCAGAAGCAGAAGTTGGAGTGTTTGGGTGGAATGGTAGAAGTACTTCTGATGCCATAATTTACTCATAGAATCAATTTTTTTTAACCCGGGGAGACCAGCTTCTAAAAATGATTCTGATTCTGCTTCTCTTTTAAAAAAAGAAACAGAAGCATAATTACTTCCAAACACCCCCTTACTACTACCTTTGTTTCACTAACATTGGGACGTGAGGGTGTGACACGATTATTAAGAAAAATGAGTTTATATTGAATTGATAAATAAGAATAAAGTAAAAATGATTAAGAGCGGGATAAACTTTATCAAATTTGATATGAGAAAATCTTAGTGGAATTTTCAGAAAAGAAAAAATGGGAAAAGTTTAGCGGGACGGAGGAAGTATCAAATAAGAGTATTTATTCTCAAAAATAAATTTGGTGTTGTTTTATGACTTAATAAACATTTGCTTTAAGTAAAATTAAATAAGAAATTGATATTTATTTGATTTCATTTTCAATTTGATTTATGCATCCAATTTGGTGGAGAATGACCACAGTATAAAGCCATTAATTAATATTTTAGGAGTAGTGTACTTGTATTACTTTAGCAATATTCCATAAGCTACGGTATACTAAAATTATCTGTAGTAGTGTTCTGCATATATATGTTCATTGTTCGTTTACAAATTTTATATATAATTCATTAGTGATATAAATTAATGGTACTCGTATTAATTATAAAGAAGCGAATATGTACAATCAGATATATGTTATAAAGTGTACGTGTGCATGTAACTAATATCATATGTATATATGGTGTAAGTTCTGAGTTTTAAATTACAAATGATAGCATTTTTTGGCAGAATAGCACTGTTTTATTACTCCGTATTATTTATAAGTAATTCTATCATCTAGATATACTCGTATGTTTTAAGGAAAACAAAATAAAAGTCTTTAAGTATGATTGAAAGAGCACATGCATATGGCCAGGGGCGGAGCCAGGGCACTGGGCCAGACTGGACCGATACAAAGAATATTTTTGGAAAAAATTTTACACGGAATTTTTTACACTAAAAATTAAGACATTTTTAAAATTTGGGCTGGGGCAGAGCCGGGGTTGGCCCTCCCCTAGCTCTGCCCCTGCATATGGCTATATATGTTTACTGGTCCTATTTGATTATCATGTTTTCTAATAATATACTCCGTATGTATGAATTTATGAAATATTTTAATCTAGTATTTTAATCTAGAGCCTTATTAATCTAGGATTTGGGATCTAGTTTTTGGTAACTCAGTCTAAAATTTTGAGTATAATTTGATCTAGGATTTAGTTTTAAGATGCTTTTACCTGGACTATAATTTGATGACCTGGTCTGGTTAAGTCAGGTCTGGTCTGATCTGAACTGGTCTAGTCTGGTAAACGTCTAGTGATCTCCGTGTATTTTATACCTATAGAAGTCTAGTCTGATCTGGTCCTGTCAGCTTAAGTCTGGTCTGTTTAAGTCTGATCTGGTCTGGAATTGAAAATAATCCAAGTAAAAACATCTTTACTACAGCTCCCACTCTGAGTTCGCGTTGATTCACTTTTTGCTGGAAGATTCGTTCTCTCACAGTATGCTTGCATACAATCCATGCCAGAGTCGTTGAAATCTTTGTTATCTGATTATCCCTGTTATCTAATGGATAAGGTATCTGGAATCTGATACTCCGTAGTAAGAGTAAAGCTTAAAATAAAATAAAAACTAAAGAATTTATTATTGAGAAAGCTATGGGTCGAATTTATTATTATCATACATTAATCATAGAGTCATTAAAATATAAATCCATGTCATTTATTATTTTAGAGAAAGTACATACGACGTATACAATCTATAAGCCAGGTAAGTTTAAGAAAAATGATGAACCAAAAAAGGGTTGGCATCATGGCATGTATGTTGCTGATCTATTTTATATGGAGAAATTTGTTGATTTAGTCCCGTAACTTATAGCTATACCCGATATCGGTCCTGTAACTTTAGTAACTTGCAGATTACATCCTGTAACTAATAAGTTGGTGCAATTTTGGTCCTTCTCTGCCATAACTTACTAATTTCACCGGAAAAAGACACATCACCTGCCAGATGGTATATTATTTGGTACTCATTTGCTGACTCAACATTGGTCCTTAGCTGGAGTTAAAAAATGATTGTATGAAAGCTCTTCATTGAGTGTGCGCACAACCATACCAAGCCTATTATCGGATATGCAAAAGGGGGAAAAAGCACATAACCCTATCCAGAGATTTCTCCTGAACTAAGTCGAGAGAGTGAGTTGTTCTTCAAATTTGCTAGTAATGGCTCTCGATCAGACAATAGTTTATGGAGTGTGATTGTGGTAAAAAGGTTTCTCTTCTAACTTCTTAGACTGATAACAATCCCAAAAGGAGGTTTCGTGTGTGCGCTAGAAGCAAGAAGTTCAGCTTTTTAATTTAGTGTTTGCTTCTATTTTTACTAAATAAACTAGAAATTTAAGAATAGCATTCGTATAATAAATGTGTTTGAAAATTAAAATGTATTTAAATTTTAAGCTAGGTTCTGCTAATAAAAGTAATATCTTCTATTTGTTGGGGGCATTTGATCATGTATTTTTGTGTTCAAAGCAGTAAAAAGTAAGCTAAGCTTCATATTATTTTGATGCAGACAGAAGGTTGCAGATTTTTTGAATAGGCGGACCCAACTATGTGTCATCGTTCAACAATGATAATTCCGGGATTGCTTAGAAGACTCAATTCAAAAGAGAAAGAGGTTGCAGATTTTTTGAATGGGCGGACCCACCTATGGGCCAATGTTGAGTCACAAATGAGTTCTAAATAATATACCAATCTAGCAGGTGATGTGTCTTTTTCCGACGAAATTAGTAAGTTCCGGCAGAGAAGGACCAAATTTGCACCAACTTATTAGTTACAGGATGTAATTTGCAAGTTACTAAAGTTACAGGACCGATATCGGGTATAGCTATAAGTTACAGGACTAAATCAACAAATTTCCCCAATTGGAATTCTTTCAACAAAGTCGGAACTCTTTTAACACTTGGAGGCAATATAAAATAATGAAAAATATACGGTCTCTTTGAAATTTGAAACTTGACAAAGATAATTCATGAAATTGCTCATTCAAATTCTAGCTCCCGCACACACATATAGTAAAAATTGAAATTACTATATCAACCAATGTTATAATCGAATAAATAAATGATTTACGTTAATTCTAATATCTCATACATACGTCAGCGCACGCACCCACACATTTAGTAAAATTCAAATAAAATCGTGTGTAAAGATATTAGGGTGAATTGGATTATGTGAGTTTTTATTCTTATTAACGCAACATTCCTCAGAAACATGGTACTAGTACGTTTTAATTTGCTCTGTTTTGCATTGGGCTTCACGTAGGAGCTAAGAGTTTTGTTTTAACTTTGTTTGGGTTGGGTTGACTCGAATGGTAAAACATTGAGATAAGATACTCACCCAGATTTCCCGCCTTCATATTGGGGTTACAAAGACAAATTGAGTGAAGACGATTGACTCACCTCACTTAATTTGGGTTTGTAATATCCAATGATTTCCCAAATAAACTGAGTCAACTATTTAACTAGGTTCACCTTATCACCTCAAATATAAACTCATGAGCCTTAGATACGAAATGAAATCTTGATATTTTAAACTTACAACTAATCAGAGGGGCAGAATACTTGTCACTACTTTACTGGTACATGGTCTTTTACAAATACGTAGTATAATTTTACCTAAATGTCTATATCTAGTTTAGCTACAACTTTGTGTTAATAACACATTTGTATGATTAACCTTGATCTATACAGGGATGTTATTTCTCCGTTCCAGCTCAGGTCTCCCCTTTAAATCATCCACAAAGGATGATAATCGCCACTAGGATCACAAGGGAAGGTTGTGGGCAACAACCTACAACTATTCCGGCCAAATTACCGATGGATGCTCCACAGAGGAAGAGGCAGCGGACTGATTTGAATTGGAAAAGTAAGGTTCTTCGGCCGACCCCATTTGCAGAGAATAAGGAGGATTAAATAGGGTCAAGGTCACGCGAGAAGATTGGTAACACTTACCATGCTCGCAGATGGAAGATGCTCGACATCGAAGGAAAGAATCGGCACAAAGAAGGAAGGCGTTTAATCGGTAAGTTCAAACCAACAAGAGGATCGGGTATGATGCCAGGCTAAATGGGCTGGGTACTTCCTCAAGTGGAATTGGGCTTACGGAATAGAGGGCCAATACCAACACAATCTCCACCTTATTGGACCCTAGTGGTGTAGAGTCAAAACTCTAAAACAATATGAGACTCATCATCGCTGGATTGCCCGAATAATCACAAAGACATATTCAGGCAAAAGGGGTAAGATCACCAGGCAACTTATCCGCAATCAATGTTTAACGTACGTTTGCACGACAACAACTTTTCGACAGAGAGACATTTAGTCCCCATGTCAGCAGGATTAAATTCCGATGGAATTTTAATCAACTTGATATGACCTGCACTAACAATATCACGTA